TCTGTGTAATCAATTATCGAACCTTTTACCCCATATTTCACGGCCAATGAGTCGCCACCCCGCCGGCGTCTTTAAGCAGGCGAGAGACTTACCGACCCTCTCCCTCGGTACTTTTTAGCTGCGATCCTTGGTCCTTCCTCCTCGCGGTCTCACCCTTATCTTACTCCTGCTTCTCCGTTTTGGCTCTTCGGCAAGGAGAGGAATAGCCGAGTCTTTGTTTGAGATATCAAATATTTATTTTCTTAAATAACGTAAGAAGACCGGTAGGGCGGATCATCAGTATTTTTTGTCTTAATAAATTATCAACGATTATTGGCCGCGTTTGCCTAAGCAAGGCGATTTCTTTTTCTTCTTAATCTCTCTCCCTCTCTCTCTCTCTCTCTCTCTCTCTCTCTCTGCGAGAGTTTTGAACCCCCTTGATAATGCTTTGCGGTTAAGTCAGACAAAATCGATGTAGCTGTTTGTGAAACAATTGTGAAACAAATCGGTGTGTTAAAGTATACGTTGGAAATTCTTTTAAATAAATAATAGAATCAAGCAGTTTTCGTATAAAAATGCAGTAGAAGGAATTTCATTCGATAGTTATAATAGATACGCGTATTATACATATCCTGGTTAAAATAAAGTATACTAGATACTTCTGGAAAAAAGGAGAAACGTTTCATGCAGAACAATGTAATTTGAATTCGCTAAAAACGCAAAGAATTAATTTTACGGGCAAGTACACCATTTTTTAATTATCATACGGCAACACTCGTGGGAAATTACTGTACGAACAAAATATGAATATTTTTGAAGCCATTTGGAGAAATTTCCAAACCCATCGGTTAACATCTCGTCTGCTAATTATTCACCAGGCAGTCGCGCGTTACTTGGCCGCTTGAGAAAGCCTTATCGAAGTGCAGAAGGATATATACTATATAAAGGGTGACGGCGAGAATGACGAAGGATACGCCCTTTGACATGGCATTGATGTAATATTAATATAAACGGGCGAAACTCAAAGGGCATACGCCTTGGTAACGAGTTCTTGTTCACGCGCACACAAATGTGTCACGACGCACGACAATAAAATAAACAACAAAGAAATTTTAACAGAAAGGTCGTAGAATGGCAGTAAAGTAACTAATTTATTCTTTGATTAAATTAATATTAAAAAGAATAAAATTAATCTGTATATATAATTTCCATTGAAAAAGAGACATAGGTATATTATAAAATTATTGTATAAAAGAGACAATAATTTTATTCGCGACAAAGTAGTTTTTAAGTTCTAGATCAAAATTTGAGAGTGCAATTGTATTTCTGTTGGTGTACTTAATTAGAATTGACTCATCGTCAAAGTTGTAAAGATATCGTGCTTCCTGTTTCATTTTTTTTTTTTTAAGATGGCTTTCCGTTCGATGATGCAAAGCAAGTAGGAAAGCAAACGTTATGACCCCAACTGAGGAGAGAGCCAGCAGCCGTGGCGCGCGTGCACAACACGTGTGCGTACACGCGTGCGGTCTGGGAAAATGAGCGTCGAAGTGCCAGACGAAAACTATGAAAAAAATTCAGCGTATACAGAACGTTCTGCGTTTCGCCGTGAGCGGATTTTCCAACCTGCGAGAGGTTGGAAGAGGGTAGTGAGAGGGGTCGGCTACGAGAAACGACAACGTAGACGATGTTGACGACGACGACAACGACGGCGAGGACGATAGAGGGACTAAAAGGCACTTCTAATGGCATTGTGCGCGTTCAAACAAACACGTGGAATGCTTAGCTGTTTTTAAAACTGCGGTAAAGTCTCTATCCTAGCTTACGCGCTTTTATTCACTTCTTGTCGCTCCTCCCGTTTTTCAGCTACAAGGAAAAAAAAAACGGTTTTGTTAAAGTATCTAAAAATTTAGCTGGATACAGATCTAAAAATAACTTTGCTGGATATAAAACTAACGTAGGACGCTCAAGCTGGTTGCTAAAATGTCAAAACTTTTTGCAGCATTACTTATCATCATCACTTGAGCTTCTTATATAATTATTCTTACATAACTATTCTGATAATTCATCAAAATTATTTTTAAATCTGTCTGCCAACATTTTTAGATATAATACTTCAGTAAAATTGTTCTTTCCATGTAGATGTGAAATATTAATGTGTATTAATATCAGATCACGTGATTTATATTATAATTGCGATTAATCAAGTCGACTGAATGCAATAATTGTGATTTTAAAATTTATATAATATCAATACATGAAAACAAATATTTCAGAATATAATTTTAAAATGAATTTAAAATAATTATTTATATTAATAGAACAATAAATAATGGAAAAAGAAAAACTTCTCTATTTAAAATTTGGCCGATTGAAGGCTATCGATAAATGTACAAAAGCATAACGTTCTGTCTCGCTTCTTGCGTCGACTTCTGTACACAAAGCACCAGCCATACAGTCTTTTCATTAATGCCTGAATGAATAAATGCCACTGTGCCCCTCCCCTGAATTCTTAATGCAGCAAGCTTGCTGAAAGTACTCCCGGGCCTTCAAAATATCTTTAAGAAGTTTAAAGTCTTCCCTCGATAGCATGTAAATATTGCATGTAAAGCGCGACATCAAAGAGATTCTTCTACGGTATAATGCTTTAAATTTCGGCACAAGGAGAGATTAAACAACAACGTGCGGAGCTAAACAATCTTAAAATGTCTATCAAGAAAATGTATTCGTCTTCTACGTTTAAGGATTAATATTTCATTAAGAGAATTCTATTGATTAAAAATATTTATATCACAATTTTAAGGAAAGAAAATATGCATACATATATTGGGAAAATTACATTTTACCAAATTATTCAATATTAAAAATAGGTAAAGATAAAAATCAAAGAAAACAATATAATACGTTTGCTGTAAATAAAATTATTTTAAAATTCGCGTATATATACTATGTCCGTAATAATTATAAATTCTGTAATATCTTCAAAAGATCGAGCAATTCCACACATAGTTTTCCCGAGTTTGCATAGTCACTCGTCACGCATAATCACTCTGAGTATCTGCAGGATAACGTTCAAGTATATCGCAGTAGAGAGAAGGTTAACGGAGGACAGCGAAGAGAGGACATCGTTCATCCAGCAAGAACTGGGTTCGACGCTCGCCAAAGAGACCGCAGAATCTGTACTAGCCTCTCTACCAGGACGTTCCTGAAAACTTTGTTACATTTTTGGTCGAGTCCGCATATGCGATACGACGAGTAAGTGGATCAAAGGGACACAGGAAAATTCCGGGATGACAGAAGGAAGGAGAGAGGAAAAGAGAGATGTTGAAAATTGGCGCGGACTCTCCTATTGCTCTATCTTTGAGTACTTCGTCGTATTTTCTTTCAATGTCGTGACGAAAAAACCTTTCCAAAGTTCTTCAGAATGCCAGGAACAAAGAGAATACGGAACGAGTATGGCAGGCAATACACAGAGTGAAAAGTGGATCGGAATTGGTGGTGGAAAATTTAAGTTAGATATAGAGATATAATTAATTGTTTGATGATTAAATAAATGAAAATAGAAGTAAAATTATATTTAAAAAATTGTGCTGTAATTATGAATACGAAAAAAATTTATAATATTATCTTTCTTAATATATTCTAGTAATTTTTCCTCTGTTCAAACAAAAAACGCTACATATTTAAAGAAAATGAGTTTCTATCATACATATAAAGAAACATGTTACATCTAAAGAGAATTTAAATTTCTTATATTGTCGAAATCTAAATTTTAAGCATCACTGAGTGCTACAACTCTTCTTTGTCATCGCAAAAAATTTCTAAAGCATTCTGAAAAAAAAAATTAGTGTTTCGTGGAGGACGGCTAGAGTTTGTGGTAACAGAGCATCAAAGTTATGCACTGTGCATAGAAATGACATGCATGTGTGCTTCTTACAGAAAAATGAATTGTATGCTATGTAAGAGAAAGAAAAAAGTAGAAAATGAGAGAGAGAGAGAGAGAGAGAGAGAGAGAGAAGGGGGTAGGGAGGAAAGGAGGGAGGGAGATGCCCCTAACGTGAGTCGCTCGCGCTAAAACCACGTTTAAAACAAAGGGTGCCGGCGGCGAATTAAGAACGATATTTTAACGCTCGACTTAATTGCATTAAATTGCAAGTGAGAAAGAGAGTTAACAGCGAAGAGAGCTATGAAAAAAATGTATGAACGTGCAAAGCCAAAAGGGATGAGAAGAGTGGCGAGAGAATCTAAAGAAAGCGACCCTTCTAATCCTCGTGATTGGATATACGCGATTACACGTGAGATACATCGTATTCCGCGTATTCCCTAATACTCTATATTCTGAGAACGTTGAAAAGAGAGGAATAGGCTTTTAGAATTGTTAATTGAATTAAGATGAAATATTACAAAAAAGATTAAGTCTTTTTTTCGGTATAAATTCATATATATTTGTATATATATTTGAAGAGTATCTAATATTCATAATTATAATATGAAGAAAATAAATAAGATCATTTAACATTTATTAAATAGTAACGTTATATAATATAATTAAGTAATTATGTTTCAGATAACGATCTCAAGAAATAGATATCACAATAATAACACAACGTAAATTACAAATTAAATCAGCATTTCACATCAAAACACGCATACATATATGTGTATATTTATATTTATACATATATGCATATTACTTATACACATCAACTGTAATTTTGAAAGTACATTATTTAATTTTACAGCTTTTCGTGATAGATCGAAAAAAATTGCGAATACTTAAATCTATAAATTATACAATAAAGAATCATTACATGATAAGTTTATAAAATAATTATATGAAAGCTCGTGTTACAAACAAATCTTTAACAAGACTATGTTTTTTTGTGAAATACGTCGTACTTTACTCAGTAACATTCACCTTGAAGAGTCTTGCGTTTATTACTAGAAAGTATAAGAAACTGAAATCAGATCAGACATGTGTCTCTATATATCTAGTTTATCTAATAGATATAGAAAAGTAAATTCTAAGTTCTATGAGTTACATCATCGGTTTTGCAAACTAAACTCTCACCTAAAGTTGAATCATGAGCTTCATAAACTTTATTCTCAGCAGAAACCAAATTCTCAGTTTTGCAGATTAGATTCTCAGGAGAACCTGAACTCTCAGACTTGTAAACAACTATATTCGAAACGTTCGACACCTCGCGATGAATTTTTTGATGATTTTCTAAAGTGAGAATACTTCTGAAATACTTGCCGCATTTCACACAGTAAAGATTACACTTCTCATGACTCTTGCGGTGCTTGTTGAGTAGATCCTTACGCGTGAACGTCTTGTTGCACATCGTGCAGGAGAACTTGTCGGGGTTCACGTGGAGAACGTTGTGCCTCGTCAAGTTGTCCAGCCTCGTGTACTTCTTGGTACAAATGTCACAGGTGAACTTAGTCCTGTCGGAGTGACATCTCTGATGGTACTTCAAGTATCTCTTCTCAGCGAATGTTTTTTTGCAGGCGCAGCAGACGATCTGATTGCTTTCGTTCTTCTTCGCATCCATATGATTTGTCAATTCTTCACACGTCACGAATTCCTCCTTACAAAAGATGCAAACAAATTTCTTTGGCTGTTTGTTCCTTTGTATATTCTTTATAAAGTTTGGATCAGTCATAATCTTATACAAGAAGGAATCTTTCAATTTGTCCTCTGGCTCGGCGGAGGTATCCGTCGTGACGTCGTCAATACGATTGGAAGGATTATCCTTTGTTGATAGATTCATGACCTCCACGTTATTGTTGTCATCGTTAATCAACGATAGTGACGTACTGGTGGATGAAGAGGTCATCCCGTTGTTCGGACTAGTAAACGTCGTGATTGGAATAAGAATATTTGAAGGTGATGCGTATGCCTGTTAAATAAGATTTAAATGAAATCTGTCTTAGTACTGGAAAAATGAAGATCAGACATACTAAAATCATACATCAAATTTTTATATTCATGTACATGAAATTTCTTAAGTAATCTAATCGCGCAATTGTATATTTTTCTCATAGTTATTGGAAAGTTTCAATAATTAAATAAAAATTATAATGTTATAATGTATAATAGGATAGAAACTGTCACATAATTATTTACCTGACATGAATCTCGAACTATCGTACCTATAGAATCATAATCTTTTTCAATATCCGCGTCATTTTCCTCTGAAGAGCTTCTTGACGCAGATGTAATCGTAATACGATTTTGGAGCATTCTATGTTTTGGAATTGATTTAATTCTCATATTTATACTGAAAAGATATAAATAATTATAAGATAATTAATTTTAATATTAATTATCTTATTTTGTATTGATATTATTAATTTTACAATAAATAAGAAAATTAAAGAATAATAAATTTCAAATTATATAAAATTGAAAAATATTATACATAACTCTCTATTATAATATTAATCTAACGTTATATTTTAACAGAAAATAACTCTTTAAATTAACAATATCTTTACTAAATTTAAATAATCTTAATAGAAGATAAAATATCTAATATTTATTTTCAAAATACAATAAGAACAATGTTTTTAATTAAAATAACATAAATTTGTACTTACATTTAGAATAAGTAAAGGTAAACGATGATCAAAAGACAGCTTCTCGTTATTATAATTAAAAATCTTACTTAACACTTTTGACACATTATTTCATGGATTCGTATAATCTTCGCAGCACGATATATTCTATATGAAATACCGATCGCGACTGACAAGATTTATCGCTTCTAACTTCGAATTGGCTGTCGCTCGATTGACCTCGGTACGACTTTGATGAGCGATACGACAACAAAAGCCCTAGCGGAGTCGCGGGAATTAGAATCCAAGTTTGCAAACATAGGTATAGTCTCGTATTCGCGGAAATGGATTATTACGGAGGCTACGTTCTTCAAGAATTGTAAATTCTTTCCTATAGACATGCTCTCAAACATATAATGCATGTTTATAGAATCTAGAGATACATATATAACTTCTCTAGTATTAATGTTTTAACAATTACAATATATAATAGCAATCTTGTATAATATGTATAGAACTACTAACACATTTGTTGCGATAACAAATTAATTAACTTCTTAAACAATTTTTCGTTATAATTATTAAAATATATCTATAGTTTATATAACGTTTTGCAATCCCAATATATATATACAGATAAAGTATGATTAAATAATCCTGTACAAACTAATAAAAGTAACAATAAAATTTATGATATGTTATTCGATATAGTTAAATCGAGAGTGTCAACATAGGTTTTGTATTGATTCTCCATTTATCTAGATTGACCATCTCAATCATATGACCCACAGGAAAAATGGAATATTTTTCCTCTCAGATATACAATATTTTTATAACCAATTTTATTCGTTTCACAGACAAAGAATTAATGTCGTCGCGCCGAACAGAGTAAATCTACAAGATGCTAAAAAAAGATATCGCCATATCGAGATAAAAGAGAGCGTGAAGATAAAAAAAAATGCGAAAGGGTCAAGCATATAATTGGCAAAAAAATATTCTCGCTGTTTGGTACGATATTTCCGTAGCGATCCTTGCACAGTACCGGTCGTTAATACGACATAAGGAGGAGCCAGGGTTAAGCGAGGGTGAAGCGAGGATTTTTAATTGTAGTTCGTCCGATATAACCCCGCTCGCGACCCGTCGGTATTGTCATACCGGGAACGGCGCTTTTCTTTATTTCCCCAGTGGCTGGATGAGGTTATACATTTTTTTAAACTACGGCAATGCCTCCGTCTTCTTATTAGCAAAGCTAATTGGAAATACAAATGGTTATTCACGGTAAGAAGGAGAAGGCTGTGCCGAAGAGTGACTGCGCGGTCGTAGCCGGGGATTTGAAGATAGAAAAAGAGAGAGGCGAAGGGGAAGGCAGTGGTACACTTCTGCGTATTAAGATTGTATTTGCTCCGGATAATTAGGACTTTTTCCCGGCCAATTCGGATGAATAATTGATTTTACTGTTCCCCGCGTCGCTGTCTGGACACGGGGTCCTGTCGCTCTTGGACCTTTTCGAATGACAATCACCCGGAGAAAAATACGGATCTTCGCAATGAAATATTCAATACCTCGACGCAATATTATGCGTTGAGAAGAAAAAACGCAGGGTGCTAAAACGTTCCCAAATACTGTAAGGTATGTAATAACGACAGGTTTAGGCATTTTACTTCTGTAAATCAATAAGTTTTTCGCATAATGTACTATTTTAATAAACATCAAGTTTATATTTGAAATTTATATTTTAATAGACTTTTATATTAAGAATTCGTTTAAAAAAAAAAGAATCCGCGAAAAATGATAATTCCCTAATATTACATTTTTCCATTAAAAAAACAATTTTTTGTAAATCTATAAATAAATGGCTTGATAAAACATCCTGCATAGAAAACTATTCGTCGTAAAAAATGTGGATTGAATTTAATAAGCATTAAATTTCTTTTCTCCGCAAAAATAATATCCTCGTGACTTTTGACGGATCGTAATAAGAAGAGGATGATCGACCGTCTATGAGCGACGAAATTCAACACACAACGAGTATTTTTCACCCCTCTTAGATTTAGATAACGGAAAGTTTCTCGCAATTTTGTCGGTAACGTAAAAGCAACGTCGAATGTCTCGCGAGACATTTTGACATCCAGTACATCACGTCCATTTCCTTCATCTAGTTATATTACGTATACAATATCTGTGTATCGAAGCTGGTTGATCCTGGCAAGTTCCCTTCCACGACGCCGGGCCATACATCATACTGCCTTCTTTATTAAACTCATATTTTTCAAAAAGTCTCACCTTCGCTATCTGGCGCGCCTCCTCTCGCTCGCAACTCGGAAATCAGCCCTGGAAGAACGAAAAATTCATTTGACACTCAAGGATAAGATGAATATGGAAATTTTTATGCTAAAGGTGATTTACGTTCGCGGATGTCATTATTACTTTTTTTTATCATAAATAACATATCCTTCATAGATAAATAAATGTCTTGATATTTGATAAAAATTACATATTTTTATATACTCATGTAATTAATACAAATTTATCCAAGCTTATATTGTAAAATTTGAAAAGTCTGAATGTTCCGTTCGATCAGCTTTGAAAAATTCTTGACAAAATAAATTTTTCACGGTGCAGGTGGAACGAAAAGTATACATATATATATAGGGATTAACGAAAGAATGGCGGAGATCCTTTTAACGAGTCACCCTTCAGAAGATACATCGTACAACGAGTTCGTTGTCTCTTCGTAGCACCAGAAAGTTAGGCCACTTACCTTCGACGCGCGGAGGAGAGATTGGCCGTTTGGCGGGCATAAAGAAGAAAGCCACCCCCTTCAGTTCGCCTTCTAGCGCACCCTTCGCCACCTTACCGTCGCCCGCCCCTCACGGCCCAAAACCGCGGACGGTTATAAAGCATTCTTCCAGTTTATTAGACGGAGACTCACGGGCCTCTCTTTATATTAAGCATGTGCATTATTAATGCGCCGGTATAACCGTAAAATGCTGATGAAAAAAAGTTGCTGAGCCCCGCGGGTGTTTCTTCTGCGGCAAAAGGCAAAAGAAGGAAAGAGCTCCTCCGAGATTGTTACCGCAACTTGACTGACTGACTCGTAATGTCGTGCGAGATTCGGGCATGAGAATAAATTGATCGAAAGAAATATAGTGTATAACGTAAATATGTACAATCATAAACAATTTTAAATATAATAAATCGTATTACAAATAAAAGCTCTGATAATATCAGACGCCCGTTCTCGTAAATGCAAATAAAAAACAGTGTCCAACAATACTTTCAACTTCAGTAAGCAATCGAAGATGGAGCGTCACGTTTGGTTAACGATCGGTTGTATGTTTTTTGCTGCAGAGTTAGAGCTGTCTCACGCGATAAGACAGCACGGCAATCTGGCGCAGCGCAGGAGTTACACGCACCAGGGATTTCCATGGAAATCGATGACACCCTCGACAACGTAACTTTGGACGGGAGAGAATCGCCGAATAGGATGCCCGTAACTTATCCAGATAAGGGGTTGTAAAACGATGCTGTAGCTATCTGCCAATACGGTTTACTCTTCCCTTTCTCGCGAGAGGGAGGGCCTGCATCCAGGTTGCGGGTAGATATAGGAAGCAATTTCCCAGAAATTGATGCCATTTGAATATCGCCTGCGCCACGACACACGCTTTCAAGGCGGTGTCGTTCGTAAAGGCGTTTACACGATTGTCGGAGATCTCTATCCATCCGTGCGCCGCTTCCTCGACAAATACTACCGAGACACATTGGCATTATATGTTTCGTGGATCGTATTTCCATTGCGGACTGCGCGAGCAGTACTTCACGAGGAGATGGCGCGACTAACGTAAACCGACGTCTGTTTCTCGATATTTGTTTCCTTGCCGATTGCAAGACAACTCCAGGAGTTAAGATTAAGAAGTAACTGCGTAATCTATTAATTCTATCAATTTCATGAATTATTTTATTATTCACACAAATGTTGCACATAAAAAGTTAAGTTTTATAATTAAGTTAAATTAAATAGCTTGTCTTACAGAAAATTATTTTTATACATTATTAAATAATATAATAATAATGACTTTATTGAATGTATAAATAATAGACACATCAAATAATACATATGTAAATATAAGTACAAATAAAGATCTTTGCAGAAAAAAGCAAAGCTGCTGCTAAATACTGATTTTATTCTTAATCTCAGTATTAAATCTTAATATTGAATCTGTATTTAACATAGCATGATTAATAAATTAAGTATGCAATAGTAAGAAAATATTAAAAA